AATAGATTGCGACTATCTTCTAAAGTGAGAAGAAAGGATGAAGAGTCGAGGGTATCTAGAAAATGCAGAAAGAAGGATGAAGAAGAAAAAAAAGTAGGCTCGAGAGAAAAATATCCGGGCTACGTCTCGGGGTTTGTGCGAAATAAAGTCGACGGTAACCGAGTCGAGTCGCGGGGTCGTTTTTTTCTTGTAGTTTGTTACGTTATGAAGAGTAAAAAAAAAAGTAGCTCGAGTCTCGGTAGGATGTTCAAGGTGGAAATTGCCCCGCTACACTCCGGTGACCGAAAAAGACGACGGTGCTTTGTGTCGGGGATGCCCCAAGCTCCGAATTGGTAAGTAGGAATCAATCACGCAATCGCGCGCCTGCTGACCAAGACGGTCTGGTTTTGGTGAGTCAATGGGCTGATTTTGGTGGTTGGGGGTGGTAGCTGAGGTGTCTAGACGGGCTGAGAGAGACGTTTTCGGTGGATTGTTGTTTCTGATTATCGTCAACCTCTGGTCTTATTTACTTTGCGCCCTTGCCTTGGAGGGGCACGTTGAGGTACCGGGGTTTGTTTGGCGGAGACTGGCGGTCTGCGAGCAGGGAAGAACGAGCTGCTCCAATGACTCCCGATTATTCTCACGGGTTGCAGCTTTGCGTGGATGGTTGAGAATGGCGCAATCCGGAGCTATGCAAGGCACTGAGCTCTTGTAGGTAGGTGAAGAGGTGCTCGAGGGATTCCCCAGGGTTTTCGATCGGAGTGATCGGAGTGATCGGGAAGGTCCAAGATACGTGTGTGGAGGGGCTACGCAGTAGTGTAACTGTGTAAGGCAAGGTAAGGTAAGGTAGTGTAGAGCTCAGAAATGGGCAGAGGTTTATATGAAAGCACATCTTATATCTCGGTTTCCCCCTGGATGACGCCTTCGATTTCAAACATGTCAAAAGATTCCCCAAGCACACACCGCCTCCTGCTAGAAGCTGACGCGATTGAACAGGGCGCAGGCTGAAAGCCTGAGAACGAGCTGGAGCTGAAAATTTGATGAGCAAACGTGGTTCGATGAGCTTCCGTCATCACAAATCCCAATGATGCACAATGTAGAGTTTGCCTGTCGCTGTCCTTTTTTTTTTCTTTCCCTTTTCGCCGACCAAGGTAATACTACCTGCCTCGACTATGTATCCGTAAGCTGCCTTTGCTGACAACACCTTAGTAGCGCACACCATGGCATGGGCACCTTGAGGCAAGTGTCAACCGTTGCGGCACACAATTCCGTAACAGGGTCCTTTTTTCGGGGTCTTGGCTCCGCAGGTCCGCATTGCTGACATATCGACTTCTTGCATGGGAATTTTTTTGCTGTACCTTGAAAGATAAGGCATGGTGAGGTGGAAGAAAGCTGCAAGCTGCATGTGGTATCATTGCGCACCAGAGATTGGCCAGTACCGGGGAAGAAACTCAAGGCCGAACGGGGGGGACCTAATAGAGCAGAGCGGCCGGGAGAACTGCGGAAAGGTGGGGTACAAGAAACCCGGCTCGGCACAAGCGGCGGCCAGCTTCGGCCCTACGTACTGTGTACAGGCTTCATAATCCACCTTCCTCCTCGCTTTCTTTCCACTCTTCTGACTAATGCAACCGCTTACAATATCCTATCTCGAACCCCAACAACCACCGTGCTACCTCAGAAAGCGAAGCTCAAGGTTTTCTCTGGCGGACAACCACACTCCACCTCATCCTACCTTACTGTATTACTGTACGGACAGGTAAGGTATTAGTTAGTATGATAGATAGTCCACCACACCATCACCACCCCTCCGGCTCCCAGACAGCCGCCTCCTCACCCCAACTCCCTGCCTTACACTCACCTTGTACTACACCGCACACACAACAAGCTTTCACGTCGAGAAAAACTGTCAACACACTCACCAGTCCCTGCCACACACCAAAACAATGCAAGTGTCGTAAACGCGTTAAAACGGGCCAGCGGCCGAATTTGACAGGCTTGGGGTTGTTTTTCTTCTCAAATCCTCTGGCTGGGAAAAGTGACAAATACCCGGGCGGGCGTGGGCTGGGGTGCGCAAGGGAGCAGGGAGGAAGAAGGAGGGAATTCGCCTGAGCTTACCCATGCCATTGGGACAGCTCAAGGGAAATGGGTTCCATCTACGGATTTGGGGAGCGAAAGGGGGGCTTGTGAGCGTTTTCACATGTTACATCTGGGTCGCAGCAAAAGAATAAAAACGAAACTTCCAACCGCCCCCCTTCGACAGCACATCGTCAACAAAACAAGGCCACGAGACCACGGGCACAGCTCGGCCCAATTCGGAAGGTCTTTCGCGTATAGGTCTCCCAGTTGTTTCTTCCCCGTCTGCCAGACTGTCGGACTATTGCGACCATGTTCCCTGGTCGTCCATCCAGCATAGCCAATTCTGCGGGAGTAATTGCGAATAGGTAAGTAAAGGTGAGTACGTAGGGCCCGTAGAGGTCACGTTAAGGTGTGTGTTCGCCCTCTAGGTCCCATTCTTTCTTACAAATTGATCTGCCTGGGTTCACACACAGCCTGCCTTACCTTTGTAGAGCTGGTAGGTGCCTTTTGCCCGTCTAGGCTCACTCAGACACCACCACTAACCTACCGTACCTTACGGATACCTTCCATTATCAACTTACCTAGCCACACACGGGTACGTTACGACACTCGGCCTCTTTACGAGCGACTCGCGTTAGAGAAAAGACTCCCCTTCATCCTATCGTCTGTGCCGCCCTCCATGCTCGCTCGGACTGCGCAAGGATAGCCGGCCAGCCTTACGCCCACGAAGAAAATTAGTCTGTCACTAAAACGTTGTCTCGAAACCTTGTTCGAAGCTCTGCACCCACAGCACAGGCGCTGGCGGCGATCACGGCCCTTTTCTCCTTTGGGAAGTGTTGCTTTTTTTGGTACTGGGTCCACCCTGCTCTCCGGCTTGGGCGTCCTTGCATGTCAAGGTCAAAAGTCAACCCTTCTCAAAACTGGCAGGCCGCAGAACGAACATGCCTACGTGACAGCATAGTACGGAGTACAATCATACAGAACCGGCCGTTCGCGCCCTTCCGTCTATCGCCGATCATTGCAGAAATGCCGTGCCGTCTTGGCGGACTCAGCTCTCTCGATGGACCATATTCTCAGACGGCGGTACCGCGTCCATCTGTTCTCTATATGTCAAAGGCGCAGACGCCATAAGTGAAGGACCAGAGTTTGAAAGCAATTGGGAACAACTTGCCAAACGAAACGCTAAGTCCGAATAACCGATTGCCCCTTTCAAACGAAAGGTCCGCGGCCTTGCTATGCGCAGTCATCCAAACAATACTCATATCGACGCCCTTTTACATACCTTGTATGCACTGTCGGCGATGCCAGTGTCATCTTGAATACTGACTCTAGGTATGAGAAGGTACGCATGGCGCGTCCACAAAGGCTTTTCAACTCTGAGACAAAATTCCAAGGCTCAGCTTTGCGTTGCCTTTACCTCTCTGCTAGCCTTCACGTCTTGCTTCAACGAAACAAAATAATTGGCAGTGACACATCGGCAGCCGCTGGCAGAGATAGCTGCAAAATATTCCGTTGAATACAATTCGATACTCGTAATGGAATAATGAGTGATATTCCCCTGCAGAGGTACCCCTCTCACGAGTGACCTGGAAATTACTTGGGAGGATCGCCCCAAGAGGTTACGATACTGTCGACCAAATGGCGCGTCGTCCAAATATCGTGCTTCATTTCTCCGGGACTGACTATTCAGCTTGGCTAGCATCGACTGTGGGGTATATTCCGTCAGCCGCAAGCTATCAGAGAGTAAGCTTCAGATGAAGTCCGATTTGAAAAGCCGTATAATTGCCTACCTTGTTACATGGCAACCTTTGGATGGGCCCGAAGAGGCTGGTGTCGCGAGTGAACTGGTGGGTGAAGTGGCTGAGGTATAGTCCGTAAACATCCACGACTCGTTGCTCTACCGACTAATCGAGATCGATAATCGACTGAGCTTACATTTACAGATTTGTACGCTACAGTTTACATGTCGAAGAATGCCAAGAGCGTATAAGGTTGGTAGTTGCTCAAAGGCTTCTGTCAGGAGCCGTCAATCAGTTACACTCAGCAGCCCTTCCTTCGAATTGGTGTATAACCACGTTTCCAATTTGTGAACTAGCGGGCGAACCTGCAGATGCGACTTGTGAGTTTGCTGATCTCAGCGCCGGTTGACTCGGTTGGATGTCACAAAGGGTTGCTTTCGGCTCAATGCGTGGCTACATCTGGCCGAGGCCCTCGCTTCTTTTCCGGCGCATTCGACTAGGTAATGCACTTAGCAAGCGGTAAACCTGCAACCTGTAAGTCTCGTGAGAGTCAACTTTGATGTCAGTTACCTTGGAGCAAGTGCATTTCAACCGATGTTTTGCTCACTTCAATCGAGTGTTCTCTCGGGTGAGACAGACTTGAAGCGGCAATGGCACTAGGCCCGAAAAGAGCACCAACTCCCAAACCCTTTCAACCCTGTAGGATAGCCGTTGCATTGCTGATTGCGAACCAATTGTCCATGCTCGTGACAGTCAACGACGGATTGAGCTGGCCGGATCATCGTTGTTGGCTCTTCGGCCTGTAATCCGACTCCGATGAATCAATGCCATCCGCGGCCCCGGACGCTATCGACCCCTCCAACCTAGAATTGCATCATTCTTGTCAAGCGTCTTGTCAACGTTCCATCCGGTGGTCGGAACAGCGGACAAGCCGCGGGGGGGAAGTCGGTAGCGTCCCCGCCAGTCCGGGGTTGTCCCAAGCAATGTCTGTGGGCAAGCCCATGTGCGACATCAACCATGAAAGGCTTGGCTCTTTTTCATCTTTGATAGGAGGGTTCTTCTAGAAACCCTCCTTACCTCCTCTCCGGCGGCCGGCGGTTATTGTTGCTGTACGCTCCGTATGTTTGCGTATCTAGCCTTGCCTCATGTGCTAGATGCCGGCCGCATCACCCAAACTGCTCTTGGTTCCCTCCTCACGCCAGCTCCATGCAAGACCCCAGGATTGTTTCAATCGACATGCCTTGCATGTGCGGCTTAATCGACGGCAAGGAAAAGAGGTGTCCAAGCCTCCTTCAGATCTACGTCAGCCCCCTTTCCTTCCCGTCACACCCCTCGGATGGCCTGGACTCCGACCCAATGGCAGGTATAGGGTTCCTGCGCGCACACCACGCCCGCGAGCTCTTGGAGCTCTTTGATTCGACCATGGTCGCCGCCATTCAACCTTGGAGGACATCCCATCCCGTCCTATGCTAGGTTTCCACACACTTGTAGATCGCAGATCATATTGGTTGGCGATTATCGACGGAACGTTTTGCCCAATTAAACATGGATTTGATAAGTTCAACGGGCGCCACACCTTGTAAACAAGAGCTCGTGGCGATGCAACAACTGTATATGGGAACCAGCGCGTCGACAATGTTCATCTGCCGACATATCCTTTGCAGCACTTGATAGCCAGTTGACGCGTCGCTGCGGTTGCATGTCTCATGAGCCGTGCGTAATGCTTAAGCTGTTTAAGAGAAGCAAATGAGGCTGCAAAGGTCCAACGGACGGGGTTCGGCGGGTTTTCCACGAGGATGGACAACGCGGAGTCGGGTTCATGAATTTCGTTCGTCTGACGTTTGGCCTATCTGCCGGGCTTCACCGTCGGGCAATCTCTGTGTGTTCTACAATCCGCCCGGACCATGCACGCTCGTCATCCCTTGCCCCCGACTCATGTTGGAGGAAACTTCAGATTTTGAATTTTTCCTCTCCTGCTGGCAAAGATGCCGGAGGAAAAGAGGAGTCGGAGGTAGAAAGTGTTTTGAAAAGGATACCAGGCGATGTTGGTGCTGGCACTGAGAGCAGGGCTGAGGGATGATTTGACATCTCACCCTACCCTACCATTAGTCTTCCGGCAACCAGAGGCGACAACGAGAACGACAAGAAGTGAGGGTTTCTGTTTGACAGAGACAACTGGCGTAAGCTCGCAGGCGCTCTCCTCCGATCCGTCCGCTCACCCGCCCGCTCCGTGTGGGAGGTTGTCTCGTCGTGGGGTCATGCCGACCAATCTCGCAGCTTCTCGGCCTTGTCGTCTCTACTCGTCCATCAAGAAGCGAAACGCCCAAGCGGGGACACCGCGGACTGTTAGTCCTCCACTGTCCACTGCATGGTAAGGGACTTTCTTGTAGGGAAAAAACGCACGGCGCAGTTCTTGCTCTGTCAGTGGGAAACGGTACCCGTTGTGGTCGTTGCGGTGGGCACGCAGGGTGGTAGGTAGACGTTGCAAAAGCCATGGGGTATTTGACTGTGACGTTTGAACTCTGAACCCTGCCCTACTCGGTCTTACTGCCTTGCACTTACTGCCTTGCACTTGCTGCCGCTGCCCAGCTGGTCGGTGTGTTGGCCACAGCGGACGGGGACCGGGTCCGATGAAGTTGACTTGTCGGGTTCGTACTCCGTACCTCGTACCTTATTCAAAGTGTAGTCTTCAGTAGGCGTAGGCACGGGACTGGTTGTGAATGGTGAGCGTGAGCGAGCGCACATGTCAGGCAGTTCGAGGTAGATGACACGATGGACTCAACTGGACGATTGATACCCCAATGTGTGTACTTTGGGATATTCTCGGCGCTGAATTCGTAGGGACTATTATCCGCAGCAAGAATTCCCCATGTTGAGCCGCCTATGAAAGTACTTGGGGGGCTGCAGGGGTCAGGAAAGTTGTGCATTAGCCCTAGTGGCTACATTCTATACTCCGAAGGTTCGTAGCATATACGTATGCTCTCCGTAGACTGCAGCTATGCATGTTGGCTAGGTATTCGCCCGTCGATCCTGTTAATCCGTTTTCCTTGTTGATGTCGTCGGCTCCGCGGATTTTGGTCTAATTGTCGGACTGTGTATCCTTACGGATTGTGGTAGTGTTGTGTGAAAGCAAGGTGTGGATCTTGTCAGCGTTGACTATGGCGTGGCAGAGCATGACGGTGACAGACGTAAAGTCCCATGCGTAGCTGGAGTTTTACCAAGTAGGAAGTAAGGTACTTGCCAATTGTACGGCGGCAAGGAGAGACGGACTTGTACCTGCCTATCCGTCCGGCAACAAGGTTAAGAGGTACCTCTGGTATTACTGTGGGATCTGAGTTGACAATTCGCCGCAACTCGATTCGGTCAGCGTGGAGGGCAGGCTGCACAGCCCGCAGCCCGCAGCTCACGGCCCACGGCCGCAAATGTCAGTGACTCTGCTCCCCATCCGGGCCATTCCCCCCTGCACCTCCTTCTCCTTCCATTCTGCCCCACGACAGCACAGCAATCAGCGGGCAACCACAACATAACCGTTCAACGCTAGACAGGAAGGGGGAAAAACGTCTTTTCATTCTTCAGACAAGAAAGAAAGAATCAAAACTTGTGACTTTGACACCGTTCCCCGACCCCCAGCCTCCCCCGACGCCGATATTGACACACCTCGTCACCTTGACTGCAACAACCTGGATGTTACAGCCAGCCCGGCGTTCAACTCGACTTCTCCCAACCTTACCTTGATTGCTCTTCCTTGCTTCAACTCAAACCCTACCTTCCACCTTAGGTAGCCTCCTTCTCTTATTTGCCTCCACTGCTTACACCTCACAAAAGGCACTTGCACCCAGCACTGCCAGTACTTTGGTCCAAGCTTTGGGCCTGGTCCGTCCTCTGTCTCCTCATAACAAGTTGCTCTCTTGTTCTTGCGATACGGATTCCCTTTCTAGTCTTATTGTTTTGTTGATTTTTGGGTATCCGTACGGAGTTGACGGTCCCATAAAGAGAAAGGACCAGCACTTGGGCCCACAACAGCGCAAACGCAACACGCATATCCCCGGGCCCCCGGTCCCTCGAACCCCGAATCGTCAATCTCCACAACTACAACTTAGCCAGTCTACCCCGAAACTTCGACACCATCATTCACTTCATTTCTTTTCTTCCTTCCATTCCCATCTGCCTCATTCAACTGCCCTTGGCGCCTGTCAACACCTTAAAGACAACCCCGCCCCCAGCTTTCTTCAACACCTGCACCACGTCAATAAGATTGCCTTCCTGTTATGCTCCTCGGCCCCTTATTTTTGAGCCCCCACGAGACACAGACGTCGACGTCAACATTGACCCCCCAGTTGACGACACGTGAAGACCAACCCACGCTCACCTTATAGAGTGGGACCCCGCCGACCTGATCACTGCTTTGGCACCCAATCGTCAACATCCTCAACTGTCGCCAACATGCCTCCGAGAAGATCACACAAAAAGTCGAGAGCCGGCTGCAAGCGTTGCAAGTCGCGCAAGATCAAGGTACTGTCGCCCCTCTACAGACTTCGCTTCCGGTCGCCTTTACAAAGTATGCCTATGTTGGCTGACATTGGCAACCTGATAGTGCGATGAAGTCCACCCAAGGTGCGGCAACTGCCTCAAGCACGGCGTGCCTTGCGACTTCGAGAACCCCGACATGTTCGACGAACTCCTCACCGCCCTCACACCCTCGAATACCCAATCGTCACAGTCTCCCATTGACAGAGCCTCGTCCACAGCACCATCCCCATCAGCACACCGGGCAAAGACTCCCTCTTTTTCTGGCTCGCCACCTGCCATGAACTGCTCACCGCTCTACACCACTCCATCTACTGCTGCCGTATCTGCCACGACGACACCTAATAATCGACTTCTTGAGTTACGGTTGATGCACCAATTCACTTCCATGACCTCCCGTACGCTAGTGGTGAACACACCCGCCACGCAGGATATTTGGACAAACACGGTTCCGAGGCTGGCCTTCGGCGGTGCCACCTACCTGGCGGATGCTATGCTTGCCGTGGCTGCATTACACCTGCGCTCTTTCAATCCAGACGACAGGGCCCTCATCAGAGCATCTCATTCGTACATGGCATCTTCGCTAGCGGCATATTGCACAACTTTGCAAAACGGCATTACTGAGGCCAACGCAGAGTCTCTCTTCCTCACAGCAGCTCTGATTGCTTTCCAGTCAACAGCTACACGAATCTTTATCCGCGACGAAGCCGACCCGAGCGACCCTTCAAGCGCCTATTCTCTACCACTTTCTTGGTTCCACGCTTTCCAGGGTGTCAAAACGGTCGTGGCAACATCTTGGCCTTGGATTCGCAATAGCGGCGTTGTAATTCCCATCATCGACTCGCAACCCGTCCTCCAGCTGGATCTCGATGCGACCTCGCCCACCTCTTTCTTTGGAAAGTTGCTCGACAACTTGGACGAGGAGCTTCAAACCGAAGACACTCTTATGGCTATGTCAACTAGGCAATCGTACCAGCATGCTATCGCCGTTCTCAACTGGGCACATAAATTGCCTCATCGCGGCGCCGCCCTCGCTTTCCCCGCCACCGTGTCAAAGCGCTTCATTGAATTGCTAGAAGAGCGTCGACCTCGCGCCCTGACGATACTTGCTTGCTTCTTCGCGCTGCTGAAAGGATTCGAGTCAGCAGTGTGGTGGCTAGATGGTGTTGCTCGGAGAGAAGTCATGGGCATTGTCTCCCAGTTTGAAGCCACAAGCCCTTGGTGGGAGCATCTTGAGTGGCCCGTGCGGATTGCACTCTACAAGAACACCATCATTCCACCAGAAGTCTGGGGTTCAGACTGGGTTACCGAGGAAAGCAAGGCAGAAAAGGGCCACAACATGACTGCCGAGTCCTTTGTGAACCACATCGAAATTCTGACTGGTGTTTTTCAAAAAGCACAGCAAATCCCGGTGACGGGCATCACAGTCCCGGCGAACGCAGTGTAAGCGCAACAGCTGGCTATTACGCAGACACACTCGACGTATGGGATCACGCAAACTCCAGATTGGCGAATGCTTAGATTGGCCGATCTTGACGGCACGAGACGTGCACATAAGAATGGAATGGTAGGAGTCACGGATATTAGGAGTTTCATGTGGCAAGGCTGCGGGTGGGTAACCTCTGGACGGAAGGCATTACGCATAGACAGGTCACTTTTGTTTCGACTTTACTTGTCTCCTTGCGGACCACAGGCCGTTCAGAGGAAAGGACGAGACGAGGATCTATCATCATCACAACACATATGGGTCAGGATTTTATGAGGGACTGTGGTCAAGCATTTTCGCGGGAATGGATGGGTACGGTGTTTTTTTTTTTTTCGGATATCATATAACGGCTGATAGCGGGGTTCTACAGCCAGGACAGCTCAGGCAGAGCAGATCTTTGACACATTTCTAGCATATGAATTTGATGACATCACGGATTGGACTTTTTTGAGAAATGAAA